TCATCATCATTATCATCGTCATCAACATCATCATCGTCATCATCATCATCAACATCATCATCATCATTATCATCGTCATCATCATCATCATCATCGTCATCAACATCATCATCGTCATCATCATCATCAACATCATCATCATCATTATCATCGTCATCATCATCATCACCATTATCATCATCATCATCATTATCATCGTCGTCGTTGTCGTTGTCGTCGTGGCGTCGTCATCATCGTCATCATCATCATTTTTATTTGCCACATTATATATAGAAACATACAATGAAAAAACTTGGGCGAGGAGACCTCAAAGAGCCTCTTGGATTGTAGCAGAGACCAGCTCAGTTATTAATGTAATAATTTTAAGCTTTGTGTGCGCGGCATGACCAATTCAGCCTTGACTCCAATTTGCTCTCTCTTCAACAAATCACTGAATATGTTCATCATTTTGGTGTTCCAGAAGCATTTCGTGTAGAAGCGAAGTTACAAAGTCATAATTATAGCATTTTTTGACCAAACACAATGCCCCTCTAACGTGAAATCGTCAACGAATCGTCAAATTTTAAATGCCAAGGATCAATTACGTGGATGAAAAAATAAAAAAAAAAGATTTTTTTAAAGATTAATTTAGAAACTGAAAGTTGAAACACGAACACCATTAACACCTTGCTAAACTTATGACAAAATGCCAAATGATTTATGTTTATATTGATTATCTCGCTTACATTGTTTTCATTGTTGGTTCTAATCCACCACATTGAAACTGAATAGTTGCTGTATCTCTCTTAGGTGGGAAGAAGTGCTCAAGTCTAGTCACGGAGTGTATCCTATGCAAAAATTAATAGAAAAACTTCCTGATGTCGCAGAGATTGTTCTTGATCAGTGTATTAGCTACAGTCCCCTCCCCCCGTCGCACGAAGATTTTTCTGTCACATTTAACTTCATTCATTTGGATCCGGATGAGAACACCGAGCGCTTAAAGTACTTCGGTCCCGCGACTATGGCGATACATCGACGGGAAAAGTTGCTAAACCACAAAGTTACGCAAGTGTTGTTACGTTGGAAGTGGATGATTTTGGGGAAGTTCGTCAACATCGTCAATACCATAGCATTTGCAGTTTTCGTCGTTTTGTTCTCTTTGCTTGTGGCCAAAGAAAGGGAGAAAGTTGAGTTCTCATTCAATTCTTCTGAAACAACCACGATCATGGAGGAAAAAGGCAAATCAACCTTTGTGAAGATAGTCCCTTATGTATTAACTGTATTTTTGGTCATACAACTTATGAAGGAAGTAACTCAACTGACGTGGCTTCGATTATCGTACTTCAAGGATTATACAAACTGGTTAGATTTAGCTATGTTTGTAACGGTGTGGATTTTCATCTCTCCTTACATGTTTGAAACAGATTTGTACAGCATGAAAACGCAATGGACCGCTGGAGTTGTAGGCTTACTTCTGTGTTACATCAATTTTACGATGTCTCTTCGTATTTTCGGTGGGTTTGGCTTGTATGTGACAATGTACGTCGAAGTGCTTTTCACTCTCCTCAAAGTGATGTCTACCTTTGTTATTGGCCTAACGGGCTTCTCCTTGGCGTTTTATATTCTACTCCAGGAGCAGGTGAGCTTGGATAAAAACTGTTTACCAATCTGTTCTATAGTTGATTGCATGCTGCAGAAACTCTCCGTTGTAAAGAAGTAGAATTTTCTTAGTACTTTTCAAACTCATTAATTATTCATCAAGTTTAAACAAAGGTAATCATGACTGTGACGGTGTTTGGATATACAATCTTAGTTAGCATAGATTTTTAAGATTTTATATCTCCGTTTTCTCCTTTATATTAGTTTCAATAGAGAAGATATATCAAACACTCAAGACCATGTTTGACCACTTTCCAAACACCCCGAAAATCGTCAAAAATACTCCGCTACGTTTCGTATTTTTAACTCTCTTCTCAGTGTTTGGAAATGTGGTCAAACACGGTCTTTTGTGTTTGATGTACAACCATCTCTTTCTTCTCTCTTCTCTGTTATTTATATAAAACTGAATTATAGTTTAATACCCAAAATCTTTCTTTTATTGCTGGGATCCATCTTAAAAATACGAACATCCCAGGTCATTGGGATGGTGCTATTTCTAGGATTTTTATTTTTAGACTGTGCTTGTTTCAAACAATCAATGAAACTTTTCCTCGTAGGGAAATTTCACAAGTTTCTGGTTGGCTTTAGCAAAGATTCATATGATGATGGTTGGTGAATTGGATTACACGGGCGTACTGGTGGAGAACGTTGTGAACAACTTCACAGTACCAGGAACAGATGTCCCGTATGTTCCTCTGCCAGCACTCACGTTCTGTCTGTTTTTTGTATTCGTCGTCATGGTGTCTGTAGTGCTTGTCAACTTGTTGGTACGTGCATTTCTTGCTAAGGACGAGTAAATGCATATCTAGGGATCGGCATAGCATATTTTGAAATCAAATAAACATATGAAACCGGCCGCTAAGCCAGGGAGGGGGTGGGAGGGAGGGGATACTCTACAAATTCCTATACGGGGAAAGCTCCGCCTTAAGGTCAAACCCCCCACCCTTTTGGGTACCATTTTGGCAGAAATAGGTGTCCCTTTCTTATACCTATAATTGAAAAGGTACTTCTTTCACATACTTTCACAACTGGCCCGTATTATAAATAAATCGCCAAAAAGAAGTCCCCGTAGAGGCCATTATAGGAAGTGCCCCCCCCCCGGCCCCAGCCCGATCAATTTTGGGAAATGAAAAGAAATGAAAGAAGTTAAAGAATCTGAAAAAGGATATGATTAACACCGATATATTAACTCCAACGCCCTCATGACAAATCCAGACCAATTTCTTTTATCGTTGCTTACAAAAGCTCGACCTTTTGAAAACATCTTAAAAGAAAAAAAAAAACCAAGAGAAGGTACTAATATGACTCAGTACTGTCAAATTGGGTCAATTAATGAGAAGTTAGAGTACTTAATTAAGAGAGGAAGCCACATCAGCCTTAGCTGGATAATGAATATAAATTTTGTATCATTTTTAAAGATTACCGGCTTTTTTAGATCAAATACACAACTGCATTAGATTCCGAGTATTGAATTGTTGAAATAAATGGCCGCTGATCTCTATCGCCGAGAGGATCCGAGGACGGTTGGACGTCGACGGGAAAGCCCATGATGGCATCGACCAGTCGAGTAAATACGACTTATTATCAATTCAAAACTGTCGTGTTATTAACTTGGATGCTTTACAAAATGATTCTAGGTTGGTCTGGCAGTTGGTGACATCGAGGCCATCAGGAAGACAGCAAGTCTGCGAGCTTTGATAGACCAAGTTTTACTTGTTGACCACATCTTGAAATCTTACCCAAAGTTTATTCTACGACGCATATACAAAAGTTCTTTGGAAATAAAACCGAATCAAAATAGTTTCCTTAAAAGGTACGTATTTAATTTGAGTTTGGCTAATACTTGCAGGATTTTCTCTGAGGCAACTAGTAAATTAAGTATTAAGTTGGATTGTCACGACTACCCGATTTCTGAGTAAATCGCTTCTGAATTGCAGAATGACGCCTATTACTTCGCCGATTGATATCATTTTATTTCTCATCATATTTTATTTTGTTTAATTTTATCTATTTGAACAGCCTTTTGTTTTCAATTATTGAATCACAGTTAAATTATAGCCTACGTTCGATATTTCAACATTGTATCGAGGCTTTCCGCCAAACGTCTATATTCAATTTGGTCTTTGGTAGATAGTCGTGGAGTCATGGTAAAATCTTTGATCTATACGGACATTGTTTTTGAGCCTCAATATGCATGGTTGCCTTGACGTCACGAGAAAAAGCTCTTTTCCCCAGAATTAGTGTCTATTTCAAGCCGGCATGCGCAGCTGAGTTATAATTATCATGAACGGTCCAGGGGGAAACTCTCTTGTCAATCTCACTGATCAAATGCAGCTCAATTTGATTTGGATAATTTGTCACTGCTATAGGCCTAGACAAGGAGGCGCTTTGGCCGTGGTGGTGCACTCGACTCCGAATCGAGCGGTTAGGGTTCGAGCGCTGGCTGGGGACATGGTGTTGTGTTCTTGAGCGAGACACTTTCCTCTCACAGTGCCCCTCTCCACCCAGGTGTATAAATGGGCACCGTCGAATTTTAATGCTGGGGGTAACCTTGCGATTGACTAGCATCCCATCCAGGAGGAGTAGAAATACCCCTAGTCGCTTCATGCTACAGAAACCGGGATAAGCTCGGGCCTGATGGGTCACCTGGCTAGCTCGTTTGAGGATTTTACCTTACCTACCTATAGGCCTGGACAGAGTTAATGTTTTAACAAGGAGAATTTTTTTCCCTATTAAAAAATTTATTCCTGTATTTCCACTAAGCCCTTTGTGAAATCTTCATACGGTAATCTTTTAATTCCTGTTTGGCTTAATTATTTTAACCGTTTTTGCCTCCAAAGAGTTGCCTTTGCTGGTAATGATCTAAGTGATTGGGATTTTATGGATAAGCTGCTGAATCGCGGATCTGGTGCGAGTGACACAGAGGACTGGTGTCAGGAGATGACACAGATACGAGATGAAAGACAAGAAGAGAACTTTCAGAAACTCCAGGCCACTGTAGAAGCACAAGGAAAACTTCTTCAGGCTATGGCTGAGAAACTTAAAATTACAGTGTAGAACATAGAACATAGTGATTTGCTGCATTGTGCGAGTGTCGATATTTAGTGCGCACGAGTAAAGCAAGGGGCTTGACCGTAATGTAATTATGTAATTATTTAATTTAATTTAATTTAATTTAATTTAATTTAATTTAATTCAATGTATAAAGTAATAATAATATGGCAGATTCCCTCTGCCATCATTTACTATGGCGCCGTCCAGTGTTCATCCCGGTATAGAAGTGATAGGGGCATCTAACTGGTTCGCTTTTTGTCGCCGGTTTTCTTATTTTGTAGTACCCTTTGCAACTCAAATAATTCATACAAGGGATGTGTGAGATATGACTTTTCTGTTTGTCTTTCATGTACTTGATTCGTAATTTAGCAAACTAAGATCAAACACTCTGGTTAGTTTTTTGATGAGATATACAATGATTGTAGGGCATCGGCACAGGCGGACATGGTTTGATATCATCTATGACATATCTACTGTCAATATATTGTTCAGTGTTTAGCTAACGTTAGAAACTACAAGTGTCAGCATGTGATTGGTTTCAGCACACTGATTTTACAATATTGTCTTTACTTCATCATTATGTTACTTAGAACGGAGCACTAAATACAATACGATTTTTTTCTTGACAACTGAATGGCGTAGTGTGTGTTAATTGGTACTTCTATTTCGAATTCGGTCACGCGCGTTTCTTAGAATTGGTAAAACTGATTTTGAATTCAATAAATTATGACCGTGGTAATTCCCTTGTTGTACATTATACGATCAGAAAAAATGATTTAGGGCTTTATTACGTACTATTTGAAAAGGATTCACCAGGGTGTTTTAGATAGTGACGACTTTGTTTAACAGCTATGGGCTTGCCCCAGTATATATAAATTCTGTCAATAAATAATAGCCTTTTGCTGATATTTTCTGTTTGTTTTCTTTGTGCTTATATAATAATAATAATAATAATAATAATAATAATAATAAT